GGTCATCTCCCATTTGGGTCGTTCCAAAAAAACTCGATGCTTCCAATGTCCAAAAATGGCGTGTAGTAATAGACTACCGCAAACTCAACGATATCACAATCGGTGACACATACCCCATTCCACAAATCACCGAAATACTAGATCAACTCGGTAATAGTAAGTACTTCTCCACCTTAGATCTGGCATCTGGATTTCATCAAATTGAGCTTAACGAAGCTGATAAAGCTAAAACAGCCTTCACTGTCCCCGAGGGACACTTCCAATTCACTAGGATGCCATTTGGGCTCAAGAACGCCCCGTCTACCTTTCAACGACTTATGAATTCTGCACTATCTGGCCTTCAGGGTATACGATGCTTTGTGTACCTCGACGATGTGGTCTCGTACGGGTATGATCTAAAATCTAGCATCAGCAATTTGACAGCCATCTTCCAAAGAATCCGTCAGTTCAATCTGAAACTGCAGCTCGACAAATGCGAATTTCTAAGACGCGAAGTCTGTTATCTAGGGCATATAATCACCGAACAAGGCGTAAAGCCAAATCCAGAGAAGGTCAAGGCCGTAACCGCATTTTCTACCCCTAAAACTCCAAAGGACATAAAATCCTTCCTTGGTCTTGTTTCCTATTATCGCCGGTTTATCCCAGACTTTTCCAAGACAGCAAAAGCTCTTACCAGCCTCCTGAAAAAGGACATACCATTTAAATGGGAAAATCAACAGCAACTCGCTTTCGATACTCTAAAACATAAACTGACGACAGCACCCTTACTTATCTACCCAGATTTCACCCAGCCATTTGTCCTTACATGTGACGCCTCAAACTATGCAGTAGGTGCTGTACTCTCCCAAGGAATTGTTGGAAAAGACCAACCAGTAGCCTTTGCCTCACGCACTCTTAACAAAAGCGAATCCAACTACAGCACTACTGAGAAAGAATTGCTAGCAATCCTATACGGTTGTAAAACGTTTCGCCCATACCTCTATGGACGCAAATTCCTTATCATTACTGATCATAAACCTTTGAAATGGCTGTTTAATCATAAAGACCCCAGCAGTAAACTCCAAAGATGGAGATTGAAGCTGGAAGAATATGAATATGATATAGTATACCGTAAGGGCAAATTAAACTCCGCCGCTGACGCTCTGTCCAGATACCCGGTGAACCCTATATATCCTGCGAATAAAGATTTCTTAAATTCTAATGTAACTAACCCTGATAATGAACCACCACAGCCGAACATACCTGAAAACCAGGATCCTGTTGCAAGTCCCGGAAGCTCTCCAGCGTTCAGCCCTTTAACCTTGAGCGATCTCGATGTGCGTATTCCGTCTAGTCTTCTCGGATCAAACAGTAACTTACCTTCTATTCCACTCCTGGAAGACGACGATCTTTCCCTTACTGCTTACAGCCCTCAAAACTTACCTGCTCCAGCTGAGACTCATTCCAAAACTTCTTCTCCAGTACCTAAAAACTTACCTGTTTCCACTCCATCTCCTGAGCCTGAAAATCAACCGATGCCCGATGAAACATATAACAAATTCCTAAAATCCTCTACTGAGTCGCATGATACCCAAATAATAGAACATAATGAAAATCTACTAAAAGGGCCACAAAGGTTAGTTATTATACCAACTTCAATAGACATGGACGAGTCCATGCCTTACGTTCAAGAAATAATAAACAACTGTTCCGCGCTGGAGCGAGATGAATTTTTAAAGTTAGAAAGATCCTTACATACTTTTATACCTCTTACAACAGGAAATAAAACTTACCTTTTCCTGTTCACGAAGGTACATCATTTTGATGACCTTTCATATCCAGATATCTTCGAATCCCTAATGTCTTATCCCACAGTAAATGATATTAGTACATCCGATTTCAAAAATCCCTTTGATAGACACTCTTTCGTCAAGATTTATAATATGCTTAGTTATTTATTCGACGGAAGTAACATACGTGTTCACATTTACCACAATAACATTGCATATCCTTCAATGAGCGAAATTCCGAAGATATTGAAGGAGAACCATGACCTTCCCCTTGCCGGTCACTTAGGAACCATTAGAATGTTAAATCGTATTAAGGAGAGGTTTTATTGGAAGAATATGCGTAGTGATATTGAGAACTATGTGAGGAAGTGTTCGTCGTGTCAAATTAATAAAGCCTTGCGAAAAACTAACAGAGCGCCAATGATTATAACCTCTACTTCGACAGGCCCATTTGAGCGGTTGTCTATGGACATCGTAGGCCCATTGCCAGAATCCGGTACGGCTAAACTTAAATACATATTGACTATGCAAGATGATCTTACTAAATTCTCTATAGCCTACCCAATTCGCAGTATTACTGCTGAGGAATGCTCCGAATGCCTTCTTCACTTCGTTTCCCTTTTCGGAATACCAAAGTATATACTTACCGATCAAGGTACCAATTTCACAGCCGAAATATTCAAGAAAACTTGCGAATTTCTAAAAACTAAACAACTCTGGTCCTCTCCTTACCATCCCCAGACACAAGGTGCTCTGGAAAGGTCACACGCGACCCTCAAGGAATATCTTAAGTCTTATGTCAATGAGAATCAGGATAATTGGCCTCGATATGTATATACTGCCATGTTGGCATACAACACCGCAGTACATTCGACTACTCATTACTCACCATTCGAACTGTTGTTCGGGTACAAACCGCGCATCCCAAACTCTGTCTACGATGATACCACAAATCCTACCTACCCGGAATATGTCAAAATGTTGCAACACAGAATGAAATATACTCGCGACAAGGCAATAGAGTATATACAAAAATCCAAATTAAACTCTAAATCCTATTATGACTCGCATACACGTCCCGTAAGTTACAAAGTTGGAGATTACGTGTTATTAAAAAATCACGTCAGACAACGCAAGGCCTTATCCCCATTGTGGAAGGGCCCTTACAAGGTTACTAAAATCCATGGTAACCATACATTGTCTTTACTCATAAATAGGCGCCACGTAAGGCACCACTTTGACGAGGTCAAACATGTGGAGGCTCAAGGGCCTTCAACCTCAACTTAAATATAGTCTTAATTAACATAGGTAAATAAATTAACTTTTAAATCTTATATACAAACTACATATATACATAATTTACACTTTTACTTAGTTATACGTTTACACAAATATTATCAATTTATTATTTTTACATAGTATTAATATAGATATATACAAATAGTACACTACTTATACAGAGTTCTGTATATGCCTCTTTTCCTTACAGCATACTGGCCCAAGGTCATCCGGAATATGTCCGGAAGATCGACTCAAGCTCCGGTATATACTTTGACCCAATTGGTGAACTCAAAATTCATGTAAGCCACTTAGATATAATAACTCCTTTGGATATCTCGTACATTGAACCACACATAAAAAATATCAATTCTGTATTAGGCACTTTGCGTCTTATATGCAACCAAATACAAATTGAAACCTCTAATAACTTAGAATGCCATAACACATTGTCACCTCTGACAGTTAGGTATCATGATTTAGTTTCGGAATATTCAGCTATCTCTCATTTAACAGACAAAAGGTTCAAACGAGGGGCATGGATAGGTGGTATTGGCTCTCTCTCCAAAACTATATTCGGAACTCTGAGTGAGGATGATGGCATCAAATATGATAAAGCCATCCGAAGTATGCATGATAATGAGAAAAGGTTAGCATCATTAATGAAAGAAAATATTTTGGTTACCTCTTCCACCTTATCAAAATTTAATGAAACTTTACATATAATAAACAGTAATGAAGCTAGCCTTAACCAAGCTATCGATGATTTCTCTTTAAAATTAAAAAACTTAACTTTAATCTCAAATGAATTGACTATAAAGTCAAACATAAACTCAATACTCAATAGTTTAGAAGCATCCATACTAACGTTATCGTTCCGGCTTGAAGACATAACAAGCGCTATCACGCTTAGTAATAAAAACATTCTGCACCCGGCTGTACTCCGTCCTACGGAGCTATACCAAGAAATCGTCGATAACTATAGATACTTACCTGTAGATTATAAGTTACCTATTAGCCTAGCGTTAAATAATATTCATACTCTGATGAATATATCTAGTATAGTATGTTATAGTTTAAGCAACAAGATTGTATTTGTATTAAAGATACCTTTAGTATCCCCTAAGGAATTCAACCTGTATCACAGCATTGCACTACCTACTCCCCATGATAGTATAAATCCAAACTCTTTTACATATGTAATACCAAGTAGTAAATACATAGCAATGACCAAGGACAAATCAGAATATTGTAATACGGACTCAATATCAGAATGCATAACGATAAACTCCCGCGAATATATTTGTGACGTCATGACAGTGTTCCCGACCAGTGCGAATCCGAGTTGTGAAAGTGAATTAATGATAAATGTGATAAAAGTGTTACCGGTACAGTGTAAAACCGATTTCGTTCACGGACACATAGACTTATGGAAATCACTTTCCAATAATAATTGGATATATGTACAATCCCAAAATAATAAATTATATATTGAATGTCCAAATCAAGGAATTGTTGAAATAAATATAATTGGTACAGGAATACTTACAACCCCAACTAATTGCATATCTTATTGTAAAAGCACTAGGTTGATACCTAGACTTAACAATATAATAATAAACTCCACCGTTGTAAAATCCGATTTTAATATTATTAATGACTCTTGTTGCACTTTAGATAAGTTTAAGATAATAACAAGTAACGAGGCTCCTTTGAAATTACAAAATATTGACTTGGACGTTTTTACACAAGAAACAAAATCAAGATTGAGATCAATATCTGACCAAGCAGATTCAATCTTAAATCAACACCAAATTATTAAATACGAGACTCATTACTCGATATTACTTATAGTTATAATCTGCATTGTTTGTTCTTTCTGTATTTTTAAAATAATTAAGTTTATTAAATGTCGCAGCCGTCTTACCTACCTTCTTCCCAGACCTATACAGCCTACTCCAGCAGACCTTCCTTCTGATCAACCAACAGAGCATGAGCCAGGTTTACCTCTAAAAGTCATAAAACATCAAGCAGATGTAGAAGTCATCCCATGTCCCAGTATTCGCAGAAATATATAAAATTTGTATATATATGTATATATACCCAGACTTTCGAATACCTTCCTAAACATCGTATTTTCAACCCCAATGTTTAGTCTACCCCTGGGAGGTGTTATAGATAGTATATGTATCCCCTTTAGCACACCATGCACCCTTGCCTTGCACAGACTGCAAGCTCATCATTATGTACTCATAGCCGCCAGTCCCATCCATACGATCCGCAGTCTCGATCCAACTTCCTAACCAGACGGCTGTCCTACTAAATAAATAAAATTGTTTTTTTTTAAAAAAGCCATTCTTCCCGAGGCTCATAACAGACCGAACTGAAAAAAATGTGATAGTAAAATCGTAAGAAAAAATGCGTGGAATTAAACTTGGAAAGAAAGTTATAGAAATATTGTGATACTACACCAACAGTGAATATGTGTGAAGTTATAGGGGGTGGTAGAGCGACAAGGGTGCATCACTGAAATATTGTGATATTACACCAACACTGAATATGTGTGACGTTATAGGGGATGGTAGAGCGACGAGGGTGCATCACTGAAATATTGTTATATTACACCAACACTGAATATGTGTGAAGTTATAGGGGGTGGTAGAGCGACGAGGGTGCATCACTGAAATATTGTGATTTTACACCAACACTGAATATGTGTGAAGTTATAGGGGGTAGTAGAGCGACAAGGGTGCATCACTGAAATATTGTGATATTACACCAACAGTGAATATGTGTGAAGTTATAGGGGGTGGTAGAGCGATAAGGATGCATCACTGAAATATTGTGATATTACCAACACTGGATATTTGTGAAGTTATATCAAGCTGTGGACCAGTAACGCCTGTGAGACATGATTATGATTACAAGGTGATACTTATCAGGAGGTGGCAGAGCGACGGGGGTGCATCACTGGATTATTGTGACATTGTAGTTTATTCTAAACTGTGGGCCAGTCCTGCCTAGCATCCTTTACGAACGCTAGCGGGACATGATAATAAGGTGCGTATGTAGGGGGTGGCACAGCTACGAGGGTGCAGCACTGGAATATTGTGACATTACACGAAATCTGGATATTTGTGACGTTATACCGAGCTGTGGACCAGGAACGCCTATCATCTGCTGTAAACTTAAGCTAGACATGATAACAAGGTCAGTACTTAACAGGGGGTGACAGAGCGACGGGGGTGCAACCCCAAATTATTGTAGCATTATACCAACACTGGATTATTGTCGTATATTATACTAAACTGTGGTTAAGTCCAGGGGGGTGGCAGAGCGACGGGACTGCATTACTGGATTATTGTGACATTGTAGTTTATTATAAACTGTGGGCCAGTCCTGCCTAGCAATCTTTACGAACACTAGCTGACCGAACTGAAAAAAATGTGATAGTAAAACCGTAAGAAAAAATCCGTGGAAAAAAGTGCGTGGAATAAAACCGTTAAATGAGACGTGCGCAGGCGCGACAGTCGCATACACAAGCAAGTTTGCAATTAGTGTCGATTCTACATTAGTCGAAGGAACTTCGTTCCTACCCGGTGTCCCACGACACCACATATTTTTTTTTTATATTCATATAATAGTATATAAACAGTTTAATGGTCACAATTAGTAGCCGAGCTTGAACTGAAGGACGTTTAAAAAAGTTGTCCTTAATTTTTTTATTTATCACATTTACATCATTGATCGATAGGCGGACTTAAACTATTCTTTTAAAAAATATTCTTTCACTCTCCATAAAAAAATTGTTAATTGTAAATAAATGCTCGATCAAAATAATCGTAAAAAAAGGGTGGGTTGCACTCCGGGAATGCCGGCAGAAGTGAAAACTTGAATATTAACGTTGTGCAATTTTGATATTTTGGAATGGTTAGGGAATAATTTTGCACGAATTGCTTTAATTATCAGTAACACTTTATATACACGAATTTTACGAATACACAGTAGTGTGGCCACTATACAAATGGTCGAGCCATCAGCTGTCACCATTCATGAATGCGCGTGGCACGCTGTAACATAAACACACACGAACATTCGCGCAAGCGCCCTGCGCCGCCTAAACGTAAACAAACAGCAGACACAGGCATACATTTTCGCCGCGCCGAAGAAAGAGAGGGGGATACTTCCTCTCCTACGCCGCGCCGGCTGTCTACTCTTCATCCGTCTTACGAATTTTCGATCAGGTCACGTGTCCTGATGCGAGTTAAACATTTTTTACCCATTACAATAAAAGTGTACAACGCCACTAAAGGAGTTTTCACTTCAAAAACGTTAATTACCTTGTTATGTTTTTTTTGGTTTCCGCCAAGTGAGTAAATTTATTGAGATGTTCTGAATTGCGAAATACCATTTGCATTAAGAACAACAAGTGCCTGGTGGCTTTGAATATAACTAAATTTTTAAAACTTTGCCCTTTTTCTTATTTATTTCTGTCGTTTGTTATAAACAAAAAAGAACCATTATTTTAATGAAGAATTGTAAAATTGAACTTTAATTATTATTTGATAATGTTTTACTTTTTTGGGGTTTATCCTGTCAAATTGACTACTCAATTGCAATTTATTGGTTCGACCTTAGCTGTTTAATTTTGTAATTTGCCTATGCTTATTGATAGTTCAAACATTTTTGATAGACTGTCATATCACAAGTATGGCCTTTTACTATGTCTGAGAGTATATTATTGCCATCTTTAAGGCCTAAGTTCAAATCTTGGTAGCGGTATTGATTGGGCTGATGCTAAAGATGACAAAATTGTTTTCATGCACTTATTTATATATACATTAAATAAATACTGTCGAAAACAGCTCTTGAGATGAGGCCAATAAATTTATGCGAGTTGCTCGAATTCGTGACCTATTTAATGTAGTAGATTATCAAACAAGTATTCATTAAACAAAATTAAAAATAATTTTGCTTTGACGAAGCGTGACGTAAGTAGGTAGCAATTTCGTGAAATGTGAAGAAAGTTTAAGCTAATAGATTTCATCATAACAACCTGCGTAATAACGCTCGTATTTATGAGGGCGTAAAAATGTGTGTAACTCTCATTAATTGGCTAATGAGTTCCTAAAGTACCGCAATAAGGATTTATTTTTTATTTTAATAAAAAATATATGAAAGTTACTACGCTATTCCTCTTGTTGTTAGCTATGACTATAGGTTGGATGAAGTAGGATGCGAAGAGGAGCCCTGAGAAGCTTGATGGCACAAGTGGTTAGAGAGTTCGGTGGCAACTTTCGCAGTGGTCAGTCATTCGATGGATTACCAAAAATGTATTATCTCGAGCTCCTCCGTGTTTCAGAAGGCACGTTAAGCCGTTGGTCTCGGATGCATCTGCAGTCATTAGCACCCACCAATTCACACTGGCCTGCTTAGTGGGTCATGGTCAAATCTCCCTATTCCACACATAGGGAAAGCCTGTGTCCCAGCAGTGGGGAAATTAATAGGCTAATGTTAATGAAGATGAGGATGCGAAAATAACTGACGTAACAACAGTATGTTCTGAACTTGCCACCAATATCATGCCGGCCTTAACTAAATCCCCTCAAAACTGGCAACTCATAGGAACATAACTTTGACTATCGTACGTTGCAACGGCAGCGCTCCTGCTACATGATTCAGAGGCCCTGGGTCAGACTCCCGGTTCGGAAATAAGTAGATATAACTGTTCACCTATCATGGTTGTTATAAACTATTGCTAGCAAAAAATAACCTATAGTTTCTATAAAACGTACTCGTTCTGTACCCCTAGCACGAACCAATATCGAATTCGAATCGTTTGCGAGTCCGAAATGTCAATGTCAAATGTGTACTGATTTTTAATTCTCGTTACGTACTTTGTACCGCTGCTGTTCAAGTTTCCATACAATATTTTACATTGACATTTCGGTTTGAAAACTATTCGAATTCGATAATCGTTCGTGCTAGGGGTACTGTTCAATCTGAAACTGATAGCATCGGAACTTTGAGAATTTATTGAATTATATTGAAACTGAAACATATTGTGTTTCGGTTTCCGGATCTCAAAAAAGCCGAACCCTTATAAGATCACTTTGTTGTTCGCCTGTCTGTCTGTCAAGATCCTTTATCGCGGGAACGCGTGGAGGTATCGAGTTGAAATTTAAACCACATGAGTATGTGGTTTAAATTCTAAGTCTACTGTCCCTCGAAGAAGTGAAAAAATCAATATTCTCAGTTAACGTAAAAAAGGATACGACCTTTTTACTTATTTATCTGTCTGTAAGACTCTCTATCTCGGGAACACATGGAGGTAGAGAGTTGAAGATGAAGGAGATGTTTCATTTTGGGCCAGGTCTATGTACACCTTCCTAAAAATGGAATAAATAATATTTTCTTTTCATGTACCGGAACGATTTGGAATTTTGACATGTTATTTTTAATTATGTTTTAAACAATTGTACTCACTTTCAGCTTGATGAATTTATGCACTCTTATTTTTCTATCTAATTTGACAGGACTATATGCAGTTATTGCATTTCTGAACTGTTGACACATGACAGATGGCTGATAGTGAGGTTAAATTTTCTTGACTTGAAATACGTAAAAATAATATTGTTAATATGTATGCCATTGTAGAAATAAAAAAAATCTCTGTACCGCAAAATAAAGCAAAATATGGAAATTTTAATGGTCGGAGTCGACTAAAATATTGATTTTCTTTATTTGTATATTCAGTACAAGACCTAGCCCAACTCTCATACAAATTTGAAACTTCGCCTTTAAACTATATACTCAGGTCTACGGTCCCTTGAAGCTGTGGAAAAATCAAACTTCTAAGTTAACGTAAACTAAAGTTAACAAATGAGTACGGAACCTTCGGTAAGCAATTCCGATTCGCAGTTGTCCTGTTTTTTTGTGTTACATATATACGCTTACTACTACGCAAATTAAAGGAACATACTTTTTAGTGCAAATTAACTTTCGCTGG